ACAGCTCTTTTATTTGCTACAATTTCAGGCTTTGAGGACTTGAGGGTTCTGCTCTGCTCTCTTCTCCCCGGCCCCCTTCTGACATGAAAGCTGGGAGGTTTCTCCCACTAAAACAAGTACTTCAGATCAAGTTGGAGTGGTCCCGTAGGAATGTGCTGATAACTTCCTGCCAGGAGTTGTGGAAAGGCAATGTTCAGAAATGATGTTGTGCCCATTGAATGCCCTGACACAAGAGAACTTGAGCTCATCAGTAGCATCCGCTTATTTTGAAGTGCTTATTCCTGGCTGCACAGCTCTGGGAGTGAAGTGACAAGGAAGGAGCAGGATTGCTCCGCTTGCGAAGAACATGTGTCCTTTGCACCATGTTAGGCCCCAAACATTTAGGATTTCTCTAGAGCCTTGAGCTGCTCATTTGATCCTGGATCTTGTATAGTGAAAAACATCTTTGAATTCCAGCTGCCCAAGACAGAACATCCGTGCAGAGAGACCAATCCACATTTCCAGCCCCCCCCCAGGCCACGTGGCTCTTGTCTGAGTGCCGAGGCCACAAAGTTGGGTATACGCTCAGCTCTGCCAGAGATCTGTGTCTTCCACACCATTTGGCACTGAAAGCTCACGTGCGTGCTTGTCTGTCTGCTTGTTTGTGGTGTGAAGATTGGCTTGTTTTAATTTTGCCCAAATCGTTTCATCGCTGAAGCTTCTCCTGTGCTGGTCTGAGTGAGTCTGGAGACGCGTAGTCACTGTGTGTAGCTGCTTGAGACAACCATCATATTCAAGGTGGGAAGAGAGTGCTCCTACTTCAAGAAGAATCACTGACCATGCTGTAGGTCTGACCATCTCTCCAGGCTGGCAGGGCTGCCTCCCTACACTTCCCGTTGAACGATGCCTCCTTTTCTGTGTTTTGGGAATGCTCCCGTTGTGATGAGACCAAGGGTCTTTGGAGACTTTCTTTTTATTTGGGGGGGCTCTGGCATGTTGCTGTTTGGTCTGTGCGTGATGCATTAACCAAAGGGGGTGTTTAAACCAGTGAATGTCATCAAAGGTAGCAAGCTGTCTCTGGTTGATCTGCTGGGATTTGTGGCCTCTTCTCCAAGGCTTGATAAGGGAGTGCAGCTCGCTTTGACAGCTTGCTGATGGAGGACTCAAATATCTTTTTTCCCCTCCTTTTCCTCTTAGGCTGATGCTCACTGAGAGAGGGGAGCCCTGGAAGCTGGTGATTTTGTATAGCAATGGTGGACTCAAGGTTGTATCTCTGAAGTAGGTGAAGAGGACTCGGGTTTAGGTGTAAGCACAGCCAGCTTCCAGTGGTGTGGGGGAGGCCTCTGCTGCTGGGACATACCTAAAGTAGCAAGAAAGCAGTGGTTGACAGCACAGAAGTTGTTCCGTGCTCTGTGCAGTAATAAAAGGATGCTGTATTTGGTGCTGCTGCTTGCAGCCAGGTGGCAGTTTGTGTGCTTGGAGCTGCTCGGTTCCCCGAGCACATGAGGTGCCTGTAGACATGCTGGGAGGCTGCTCCAGTGCACTGTAATTGCAGTGCACCAGAGCAGACTTGATTAATCTAAGCTAATTAGCACAGTCCAGCCAACCTCCGTGTCTCGTGTATCAGCATCCCCACACTTCAGAATGGCAGCAGAGATGCTTTAACTAAAGCTCGTCAAACTAGTTAAAGTGTCCTCACTGCCATTTTGAAGTACCGGGATACTGGTGCGGAGCTGCTCTAATTAAAGCACGCCCCACCCCAGCCCTGGAGCGCATATAAAAATGTCCCGGAAGCTCCCTGATGTCACCCACCCAGGGAACCTGCTGGTTGCTACAGGGGAGACTACTTTTTTTCCCCCCTCTCCTGCTGCAGGTATTGCTGGGTAAAAGCTCACAGCCTGGATTATGCAGGAAGACAGAGCAGCTGCTTCTGTCCTTAACCTTTGGAAGCCTATCTTTTTCCCCTTGAGTGAATGCTTATTAATGCAATGAGGCTCTTCTCTCATAGGCAAGAAGTGAGCATTTGTATGACTGTGTTGCTGGATGTTCATCCTTGACAACTGTCTCTTGCCGAGTGTTTCCTTTTTATTTTAGTAAAAGGTTTAAATTCAGTTTCCATTTATCAAGTCAACCCCCCACTTCTCTCCAGTTGCAGAGAGGATGAGATGATCCAGTATGTTGCCGCAGGTCACAACTGCACTGCAGTAGCGAATGTATTCTGGAATACAGTTTTCGCGGAGTACTGAGGGATTGACATCTTATTCTAGACCAGTGGGCTGGACTGGCGAGACCAACGGCATAGTAGGGAGTGTTGCCTGAGGGAGGTGAGGAGCCAGAAAAGAGTGGTTCAGACTAGAGAAAAGAAGACATTTGGGTTGCTTTATATTTGCAAGGAGTAGAAAGATCTGGCTTAGATCCTGCTAGCGCTGTAGATGGACACTGCAGATTGAGAAGGCTTCAAGGAGGGGTTCAGATGGTCAGCTCCTCTGTGGAAAACCATGAAAGCACATCCTGGTCCCTCGGTGCTGCATTTAGAAAAGCACCTGTGGACTGTTCATTGCATACAGGTCACTCATGAGCAGCACGTTGTGCTTGTGGGTGCACGTGGTAGCTGAAATGGTGTGGTGTGGCTCTGTTTGGGAGGGGGATGAATGTGACAGCTTCATTGCACCAGGTGAAAAGGTCTTGAGCACTGCAGTTATAACACTGCCAGAATCCCATGTGCTTCACCTTTTTGTTTTTTGGGGAAGGCGGGGGGGGGGGGGGGGGGGTTTTTTGGGGAGTAAAA